GAGTGTGTGAGAGAGTGTGTGAGAGAGTGTGTGAGAGAGTGTGTGTGAGAGAGTGTGTGTGTGAGAGAGAGTGTGTGAGAGAGAGTGTGTGTGTGTGTGTGTGCGAGTGTGTGTGTGCGAGTGTGTGTGTGCGCATATAATACATGTGTAGACATATATCTGTATGGATATGCATGCTTGATATATGCGCGTCGTGGGAACTGTCAAGGGCTTGACTTGACTGAATGTACGTGTAAAATTAAGTACTGTTTTATTTATAATATATCTTAATATATAATATATAATGCAATGCACTTGTAAAAATATATGGAAATATATAAATTATTTATATATAATGTATCTTAATATTTGATCGCATAATTAGGGAATTCAGTACAATTTGAATGTACATTTGGGCCTACATTTAAAATTAGATACATTTTTATTTTAATTAAAATTGAAGTAAAATAAGATACAAATTGGCCAATATTTATTCCTATGCCACACATAAAAATAGATTTTTAAAAGCCACAGTGTTAAGAAAGACGGATGTATAATAGGCTACATATGTGCACATCATGTAAAAAAATATATACAAATTTAGGGCTGCCCTCGACTAAAGTTTTTTCTGGTCGACTAGTAGTCATTCATTTTAAGCATTAGTCGACTATTAGTCGCACTTTTATTAATAAGCCATATAAATCATAATAATGAGCCTTTAATTGCCAACATAGCTTAATAAGTGCTCAAGCGCACGCAAAAAAGGCTTGCACCAGAAAATATAATAATTATGAATGTGTTAGGGAAAAACAGCAAGTACACTGCATTAACGTTTTAACAATTGATTGTTACACTAGTGCTTTCTGTTTTCGGTTTAAGAGATGAAGTCGGCGACACTGACTCGTCGTCTCCGCAGTATGCGCCTGTATGCATGTTTCATACGGATTACGTAATTCTGAGAATATTTGTTTTCTATTTGAATTGGTCCATTTAAAAGTTTCACTCTCTATAGATATATTTTTCATGTCTGTAATAAGGCAAGCATACACGGAGTTCACAGAGACCGAGACGGCAGAAAGCGCATCCTGTTTGCTTTCATTATTTTACAAAAGCACAACGTTTCGTTGTTATTCTGAGTGTGCACGAATAAACGTAGAGTCTTTACAGATACGAAAGATGCATTACTCTTATCTGTGTAATCAAAAATGAAGTATGGCGAAGTGTTAGGCTAACATTAGATTGAGCTGCCATGTAAAGTTGCTACTACATACATTTTTCAGATAAGCCATATTTGAGGTGGATGAATGTTAGGTATGTCCTGCCCGATGTACTATATTACCGCATAGACCAGCCGTTAACGATTTGTCCGTCACGGACTGCGTGATTTCACCACTTCGTGTGGATTTTTTTTTTCTGCAACTAATACAATTTTGATTTTATTTAATTTTAATAAAATAAAACCAAGCCTCTTCTCGTCGACTAACGGTTAGTCGACTATTAGGGGGTAACCCTATAAAAATTATACAAAAATATTTTTATATATAATACATCTTAATATATAATGGTATATTTAGGGAAATCAATAAATATGTATATTAAATATTATTAAATACAATTTTGTTAAGTAAAATTTCGACAATTTTTAATGAAAATTAAAATAAGATGCAAATTGGCCAATATAAATTCCTCTACTACAATATTTGTATCTATTTGAGTGTTTGTGTGGGTTTCAGTTTATTGTCATAATAATGTGTGTATTAGACTCCCCTTAAGTCTGTATGAAAGACACATTATGACGTCATTGTTACTGTAAGCGTCACGTCAAACATCTGAATGCAGATTCAGGTCACAGAGCACTGATTAAACTCTATCTCACTTCAGTGAGTGAATGAATCACGTGATGAATTGAGCTGTTTCACTGTTTTATGAATGGCTCTTACACTCTACACTGAGCTAATTTGACCATTTTTATTGCACAGTATGATTGTCTATTAATTTTTTTTACCGCAATGAATTAAAAGTTGTAATAGAGGTCATAGTTTCTTATAACTAGGCAAGTTTTTTTTTTTTTTTTTCTGAAAAACTAAATTCGCATTTTGTAGTTAAATATTAAAATTCGAATTATATTCTAATTTAAAATGCATAATTTCAGTTAGGGTGAAGAAAAGCTTCTGGCTTCTCTCCTGAGGCCACAAGAGGGCGCATCGAGCAAAATATTACTAATGCACGTTTATTCAAAGTGCATGTTTAAAATAATGTTTCTAAACCAATTATAATTTATTAAGTTGCTTAAACAACTATAAACAAAACAGCATCTTGTATGCATAGTTTAATACAAAGGACCGAAATCACACAGAGTACATTTTTTTCATTTAAAAACATGAGTTGCAGTGGGGTGGGGGAAAAAAACCTGCCAAAAAGTCTTGAGATATGTTTTTTTTTTCAAAGTTAAACCTGCATTAATTTTACATGGCTTTCTAAACATGTGGCTCTGTTGTGCGAGACGCGAGTGCAACGGTGATAGATGTCCCTCTAGAAAATGCGCGAAATATGTGTTCTGCATGAACAGCTTGGTTTCAGTTTTGAAAGATGTGGAAAGATCTTTCAAAGATTTGAAGATCTCCTCCGCATTGATGTTCTCTTTTTCCGCAGTATTTGTAATTAACAACGCAGCAGCGCCGCATCTAGTGGCTTCAACTGGATAGGCTTACAAAAATATTATAATGCAGTGACACTTACATCATCATCGCATCTCGTGCGCCGCTGAAAAGGCTGCACACCTAAAATTCAAATGCAGCGTTTTTGCATTCGAATGTGGATTTTTATTTAAAATTTGACGAATATTCGAAATTCAATCCCTACTGTGCTGAGAATCATGCTGTGGACAGCAGTTCACGCCACATGGCCCGCTGCTCCACACTTTCCTCTTTGGGAGATGCAAACCTTAGTTAAGTTTAAA